GTGTGTGTGTGTGTGTGTGTGTGTGTGCGTGCATTTGTGGATCCCTTCACTCTCTGGATGCAGTAACGTTACTTTGTACTTTATTTTTTTTAGAGTTAAGTTTAATTTCTAGCTTTTCAAAAAAAAAAGCTTCTGTAAAAGACTCAAACAAAGCAATTCACTGTTTGTTTTTTGACATAACAAAACAAGTCGACATTTGTTTTGTTTTTCTCGGTGAAACATGTCCAACCATCTTGTTACAGTAACCGCACCTTAAAGCAGGCTAACACGTGAAACTATCAAACCCACAAATAGGAGCAGATGTAAATAGCGGTGTTGCTCAAAGTCAAGGACGCTTCCTCGGTAGGACGGATAGTAGAAGTCACAGTAACGTCACACATTGGTTTGTGGACTACGGCTGAAAAGAGCCTCTAGTTTGGCTTTTTGGCAGCTGCCATCTTGTTTTTTTGCCACCAGAAGTGACATGAGAGGGTTGGGATAAGTACAACACAACAGTGAATACTGAGGTAATAAATCAAATGTAAGTAGAGTCATTTTCTCATAGACATCTATACAACCGGAGGAGTCGCCCCCTGATGGTCAGTAGAGAGAATGCAGCTTTAAGGACCGTTGCTTGCTGTCTGGTGTGGATCATGGATGCATAGAAATAACTGGATACACTGTTCATTGACTTCATTCCTATGAAAGTTGCTCAGTGGTGCATGAGGCAAAAAAAGTTTGACTTCCAAGTCTAAAAGTACCCGGATCTTGCAGCGATCTTCTGCATCCATTGGGCCCAAAGAGCAAGGAAAATAACTCTGGATTCAAACTGTTTGGACACTTTGCTTTAACTAAGAGTTATTCAAGTGTTCGTGCTGGGAAGTTGATCTACCTCAAGAGAAATCATCCGCTGAGTTACAGACGTCTCTTTCCAAATGTACGTCTAAGGGAAAAAGTCTTTTTGAGACCAATGGCATGACGTGATGGACCTGGAAGTTATAATTCCACCGCTTGGTCACTACGTCAATTTTTCTATTCTAGATGGAATTTCTAGTAGGAATATTGATTTTGTATTCCTCAAAACAATATAGACAGATTCATAACACTCCTCAAAGCTACCAGACTCCATTGATAGAAACAGTAATTCTATCTCGCCGACTGTAAAACACACTTCATTCAAACTCGACAGGAACAAAAGAAAAGGCATCAAAACTGTGGTGTTGGTGCTTCGTACTGAGCAGACTGTGGCTATTTTGGTCAGCAGCGGGATAAGGATTAGCCGAGTATTACTGTGCACTAATGCCATCAGCTGACCTCAGGTATGTTTATTTCAACAAGTATGTTTCTTACTCATCCTGTCCTGTCTTGTTGTGCATTAACTGCCTCCTGTACACTGGTTTATCAAAAATGACTTCAAAAGATGTTGAGCAATAGAATAGATCCTGTGTGTGTGTGTGTGTGTGTGTGTGTGTGTGTGTGTGTGTGTGTGTTGGTGGGAGGATCTATAAGAGCGTAACAGATAAGTGAGATAAGTCCTTTATGATGAGACCGGGCTAAACTAACACTGTCAATTAGGTGTGTGTGTGTGTGTGTGTGTGTGTGTGTGTGTGTGTGTGTGTGTGCATTTAGATGTACTCAATGCACTTGATGTTTGTGTACTGTTCACTGGTATTATTGTTCCATACTGCATTATACAAAGAAATGATAGAGCTACTCACAGCTTGAAAAATGTGCGCTCAGTGGTGAAACAACTCCACATAATGTACGTTAAGATTTATTTATAGAGAAATGACGGAAAAACTGCCCCACCTGTCAGTTCTCATAGATTTTTTGAGCAGTATATTCACAAACAGTAAGATAAAAATGTTCTGACAGATTTGATGAACGGCTGCTTTAATAGATAATGATACATGGATGGACTGATAGATAGATGGATGGATGGATGGATGGATGGATGGATAGATGGACTGATGGATGGATGGATGGATGGATAGATGGATGAATGCATGGATGGACTGATGCAGTGTTTTTCAACCTTTTCTGAGCCGCGGCACATTTTTTACATTAAAAATATCCCGCGGCACACCAACAACCAAAAACGTTACAAAATGACACCTTTTAGCATAATACAGCATACTTTATATGCCAGGGGTGTCAAACTCAATCCCAGGGAGGGACAAAATTAAAAATTGTGACTACGTTGAGGTCCAAATAGAGTCACCATTTAATAAACAGGATAGAAGGGATATTGGACAAAGTGCAAAAAGAAATGGGCTACATTATTTTATGCATACGTACCAGAGCCAGATGTTTGGCATCTTTTCTTGGCTGCCAGTTCATTAATATCTGGGGTTAGGTTCTGTGGAAACCCTCAAGATGGAGTGAAGGTGAGCATCAGTGAGATGACTCCTGTGTGGGTTTTTGTTCCTCTTCATCACACAGAAAAGCTGCTCACACAGGTACATGTATGTACTTCCAAACATGCAGAGCATTTGAGCAGCATGTAGGCAGAGTTAAGGCATCGTTTCGGGGGTGAAGCTTTGAAACTGTGCAGCGCCCTCAGAGTCATACTTTGCCTTGAGTGTCATCACACTGGAGGTCTATCAGCTCCACAGGTGCTCTTTCCACGTCAACTGCAAACGGATTGCTGAGCAGTTCAAATTTAAATTTCTGAGCTGCAAAGTTGACAAATCGCCGAGTGAACTCTGTGCCAAGTGCGCCCCGTTTATCAGCAAAATGCGCAGTCGGGAACACAGCGGTGGAGACTTTTACTGCTTCACACATGTCTGTGATCACACATCCCCGTCCCTGAAGCTGGAGGTTTAGCGCAGTGAGATGCTTCGTTATGTTGCACAAAAAGCCAGCTCACATCGTCACTTTTGGTCCCGGAGCTCTGTGGTATGGCGGGCCAGTTATGATAAACATATGATATTTTCTGGCGGGCCGTTGTACCGAGGGCCGGATATATGTCTCTAAATGTGTTGATCCTTATAGGCTTTTCATCTGGGTTATGTTGTCCAGGGCCCAGTTCAGAGTCTGCATTTTTCCTTTTCAAATATTTCTCCATCGCTGTTCGTCTTG